AGTTCGATATTTACGAAATTTCGTAAATCATAAAACAATTACGAAACAATTATGAATCGATTATGAATCGATTCGTTAATGGCGGCCGCGATCGCGCAATACGCTAAAAAAACTTCAGAAGCTTCCCTCTCCCTCTGTTGTTGACTGTTGGTGTGATAATTTTTTTTTTTCACTGAGAAAACAAACAGCAACCCTAAAACTTGCACCAGACATGCAGAAATAATAACGAAACATTTACGAATCAATAACGAATCAATAACGAATCAATAACGAAACAATTACGAAACGAATTGGAAAAATTTGTTTCTTTTTTTAGTTGCTCCTGAATGGTTCAATATCGCTTCGTTATAAAAAAAATAACGAATTTTTATCGAATTACGAAATTACGAAACGAAACCGCCCAACCCTAATTAGCACCACTCCATTCTGCTTTGGCCAGACTTCATTTGGAATAATGTGCCCAGTTCTGGGCACCAAAATTCAAGAAAGATACTAAGAAGATGGAATATGTTCAGAGAACGACATGAACATGATCTGGAAATAAAGCCTAATAAGGAATGACAGAGTATATTTAGTTTGTAGAAGTGGTGATATGATGGAAATCTTTCGATATTTGAAGGGATATCATGTCAAAGATGGAGCAAACTTGTTATCTGTTACTCCACAGGCCAGGATATGAATGAATGGATTCAAACTGCAAGAAAGGAAATTAGACCCAAACATTACAAAGACCTTCCAGACAGTAATAGCCATTCATCTGTTGAATATGTTGCCTTGGAACTTTATGACATGAGGCAAGCAAACTGGCATTGTAGCTTTGACAGTTCCTATCACATGACACTTATGCATCCTGCTACTGGTTTGCCTCCCTCTTGTTCCTGGTGATGGTTCCATGCCTCGTTACTGATGTGTAAAACCTATCAACAGGGGTGGCTCAACCCTTACACAAAGTAAGCATTTGCAGTATAGTTGATTTTGCCCAGGGGCGCTCTTGAGGCGCTCTTGGGGGAAAATAGACCTTGACATATGCGAGTTGTAGTTACTGGGATGTATAGTTCACCTACAATCAAAGAGCATTCTGAACGCCACCAATGATGGAATTGAACCAAATATGGCACACAGAACTCCCACGAACAGAAAATATATATCAGTGATTGGTTGGGGGGGGGGTGTGCGGTGCCAAAATACTGTTTGATTACCGTTGAAAATTACCTAGTGCTGCCTCTGCCTATCAATAGCTAAAAATCCTGCTGTCTTGACATAACATGACATCAGGGGTTGGGCTTTCCCTCTTCCTCCCCCCCCCCTTCCCAGCTATTCCCAATCTGGCTGTTTTGTTTTGTATCTTTACTAGGCTTGTTTGATCCAAAAACTCATTTTGGATGTAGGGGGCGCCAGTGGTTCAATTCTAAAGTCAATTCTGATTTTCACAGAAAAAAACGTTCAAAACTTTTTGAAACTTCTGAATCCTTTCTTTAATGGTTTATTTCCTGTTTCATTGGGTGGTCTTTATTTGAGGCAATTGAACATTTCAGCTTTCTGGCTTCATGAGGGTATGCTCAATTCTGGTCACAGGGGGAGCTGCTGCTTCACCGTCCTCTTGTGGCACTGAGTCCTTGATGAGGCACTTCCTCATTCTTATGCACTCTGCTAGAAGGTTTTATGGTATCATAAATTAGTTAAATTAGCCTTCCACATAAAACAATACCTAAATTTCCTACTTGACAGATGCAACCGTCTTTTGGGCTGCATAGGTCAACAGCAAGCTAGACTATTAATGGTCAGGAGCTCACTCTGACCCGGGCTGGCTTCGAACTCATGACCTCTCGGTGAGTAGTGATTTAATGCAGCTGGCTACTAACCAAGTTAGAAGGCCAAAACATTTAGGGACCCACAGGTTGAGAACCACTGTTCTAAAACAACCCTGTTATGGGGTCTTCTTGACAACATCTGTTCAAAGAAGAGTTTGCTTTTAGCCTCCTGATGCTAGTATCTAACTATCTCATCAGTGGGGTGGTTATAGCATCCCAGGGCACTTTCACTCTGTTTGGGGGACAGAGACTGACACCAGACATCAGATGACATTGTGTGACATCTGGTGGAGGCCCTGCCCACAATCAGTGTGAAAGCGTTGCCAGATGCTTCCACCCTAACATGGGAGACATGCTGTTTTGTTCTTTCTCTAATGGAGTCAGCACGGGGTCTCCCCACAAGGGCAACAGCTTCCCATGTGATGGGGAAAACATTGCACAGAGGGAACTGTGTGTGGGGTGACAGATTTCCTCTCAGAAGCCTGGCAAAGCGGGACCCTTCACCTGGGCTTTCAGATGAGGTCCTATGACTTGCCCAATATCACCCAGTGGATTTCCATGACTAAGGTGTAATTTGTACTCTGGCCGTGCAGAGTCCTAGTCTAAAATCCAAGCTGGATCAAATGTATTTAACGTATGTTTTTACAAGTGGTATTTTTTCACTAATTTTCCTATTTCTTTTCAGATAATGTACCACAAATCCTTAAAAGCAAGAAATTAAATAATCACACTACTGAACGATACTATTAAATTAGTCTGTGCGCATTCAGAAGAAGCCCTACAAGCCACTCTAAACACCCTCGCAGAAGCATATGAGATGCTTGGACTGTCATTGAACATTGAGAAAACCAAAGTGCTCTTCCAGCAGTCACCAGCCAATCTCACTCCAATGCCAGAAATACAGCTTAATGGTGTAACATTAGAAAATGTTGACCATTTCCGCTACCTTGGCAGCCACCTCTCTACAAAAGTCAACATTGACACTGAAATACAACACCGCCTGAGCTCTGCGAGTGCAGCATTTTTCCGAATGAAGCAGAGAGTGTTTGAGGACTGGGACATCCGTAGGGATACCAAGGTGCTTGTTTATAAAGCTATTGTCCTCCCAACCCTGCTATATGCCTGCGAGACGTGGACTGTCTACAGACGTCACATGCAACTCCTGGAACGATTCCATCAGCACTGCCTCCGAAAAATCCTGCAAATCTCTTGGGAAGACAAGCGGACATATGTCAGCGTGCTGGAAGAAGCAAAGACCACCAGCATTGAAGCAATGGTCCTCTGCCATCAACTCCGCTGGACCGGCCACTTAGTCCGGATGCCCGACCACCGTCTCCAAAAGCAGTTGCTCTACTCCGAACTAGCACTGAAAACATGTTGGTGGGACAGGAAAAGAGATTTAATGATGGGCTCAAAGCCAACCTTAAAAATCTCTGGCATAGACACTGAGAACTGGGAAGCCCTGGCCCTTGAGCGCTCCAGCTGGAGGTCAGCTGTGACCAGCAGTGCTGTAGAATCTGTGCAATTGAAGGGAGATGTTGACAAGCTGAAATGTGTCCAGAGGAGGGTGACTAAAATGATCAAGGGTCTGGAGAACAAGCCCTATGAGGAGCAGCTTAAAGAGCTGGGCATGTTTAGCCTGAAGAAGAGAAGGCTGAGAGGAGATATGATAGCCATGTATAAATATGTGAGAGAAAGTCATAGGGGGGGCTTGGGGGGCTTCAGCCCCCCCCCCCCAAATTCTCATGGTGGTTCGCGAAAAGGCCTTACTGGTGCATTATTTAAACTGTTATGTTTATTCATATCATGATCTGATCACCATACTCAATATATCCCATATGGGGTATTGGGGTAATGATACAAAAGGTTTGCTAGGCTAGACCCTCTTTCACTCAGACTCAGCCCCCCCCCCAAACTCAGCCCCCCCCCCCCTGAAAATTTTTTAGGCCCCCCCCCCCCCGAAACGAAATCCTGGCTACGGGCCTGGTGCTATAAACAGAGCACAGGGAGGGGAGCAAGCTTGTTTTTCTGCTTCCTGGAGACTAGGACACGGAACAATGGCTTCAAACTTACAAGGAAAGGAGATTCCATCTGAACATGAGGAAGAACTTCTTGACTGTGAGAGCATTTAGCAGTGGAACTCTCTGCCTCTGTGGTGGAGCTCCTTCTTTGGAAGCTTTTAAACAAAGAGGCTGGATGGCCATCTTTCAGGAGGTGCTTTAAATGCAATATGTCTGCTTCTTGGCAGAGGGTTGGACTGGATGGCCCACGAGGTCTCTTCCAACTCTTTGATTCTAAATAGAAAACGTACCAAGAGGAAGGCATGTCAAGCCGACTGGGTACACCTTCCACTGGAACTCCACTGGCTGCCGATTAGCTTCCGAGCACAATTCAAAGTGCTGGTGTTAACCTATGAAGCCCTAAACGACTCCGGCCCTGTTTACCTCTCCGAACGTATTCTCCCCTACGAACCATCAAGATTATTAAGATCATCTGGAGAGGCCCTGCTCTCGGTCCCACCGGCCTCGCAAGCGCGCCTGGTGGGGACGAGGGACAGGGCCTTCTCGGTGGTGGCCCCGCGACTCTGGAACTCTCTCCCTCTGGAGGCCAGAACTGCCCCATCCATCCTAACATTTAGGAAACGGGTGAAGACGTGGCTGTGGAGTCAGGCCTTCGATGAATGAGACAACACCATAGGACCCTGGATGGAAGTTGATGTAGATCCATCTTAATAGGACGACTGACCACTGTAGTTTTATATATAGTGTTTTTAAAGTTGTTTTGTAATTTGTGATATATGATATTTTAATGAATGTATATGTTTTTATTGCTGTAAACCGGGCTGAGTCCCTCAACGAGGTTGAGAAGCTCGGTATACAAAACTGTGAAATAAATAATAAATAAAATAAATCCTCAGACAACGCGGGGTCGCCTAAGTAAGAACGATACTATCCTTGGAAAGGTGCTCTCTTTCATAGAGGACGCTTGCTATTCTTCTGTTTCATCTTCATTGGACAAGAATTGCCAGTTTCCCAAACAGCAGTGGCAGGAGCACTCACACATATCAAATAGAAAAAGAAACATTTATGTTACTATGGCAGGATAATAACCACAAAAGCAGGGTAACTTCCAGAGACAGAATGAGGTATGGAGAACATCTCCCTGTGTGTGGTGGCATATAACTGTCATTAGATGGGAAGTTTGAGGCCAGACAACAAATAGGAGGAGCATGAGGTCCTGGCCTCAGCTCTGAGGTGCAGGATGAGAAGCTGGAAGATGGTAGTTGTGTGAGGAAAACTTAGAAGGAGTCAGATTTCAGTGCTGGAGCCTGACTTGTAGGATTGCAGTGACTCACAGAGAGCCGGCCTGAGTGAGAGCTGCCTTTGTTCCACTTGCACTGAAGGGCGGCGGGTGGGGGAGAACCCAAAAGCAGCCGCAGCCACCGCCTCTGCCTGTTGCTTTCCATATGCAGGCAGCTGCAGCAGTCTCTCCCCATGAATACCTGGTTTTACAAAATGCCCCCTAGGTAAGAATCCTGATCTTTTTTTCCTCATCTGAACATTTTCATTTCTCCTCTCTTTGACTTCCTTTCACTTTCCCACTTTTTTCTCCAGTCATTCTCAGAGACCATGGACTTTGCTTCTGCTACTTTTGGGTTCATCGCTCCCTACTGCTCTACTAACTCAGGTCATAGAAGGTAAGATCCTCCTCTTTTCCCCTGCTTTCCTATTCTGGGGAAAGTGGCCTGGGAAGAGCTGCAGGAATTGTGCAGTGATTTTTTTCATAAGAGATGAAAAAAGTTGTTGTTTTTTTTGTCTGGACAACTTAACAAGAGTTGCAGGAATTTCAGAAAAGCTAAAGCTGTCATTCATTCTGGCACTTGAAGGAGTCCAACTGCAGGCTGGTTTGAAAGGACTAGAAATGCTCATTCGCTGGTGAGATGTCATACAAATAAAAACACTGGCTCTGCAGTCCAAACGTGTATACAAGAGTAAGTCTTTGGTGAAAGACTTTAAAAAATATTGGTGACACAAAGTTTTCATTGCTTGTCATGTATATTTTGAGTTGGTGTGTGATGCACCCTTGTCTCGAGTTTTCAAATGTTGGAGAACAAGCAAGGTGTGGTGGATTATGACTTTGAAACCTGTATATATTGGGATCTTACAACTGTAATGTTTGAGAGCGATTGCTACTTTTCGATTTACTTTATATGACTGTATTACAACTATTATGTTTGAGAGCAGTTGCTCCTTTTCACTTCACTCTATGTGAATACACTGAATTACACTGAACTATATCCTGAATATCATATACTTTATGCTCCTTGAGTATTTTTTCCTGACATAGATTATTTTCTGTATTTTGACACACTACAAGTATTCTGGGATAGTGTATAGCAGTGTTTCTCAACCTGGGGGTCAGGACCTCTGGGGGGGTCATGAGGGGGTGTCAAAGGGGTCGCTAAAGACCATCAGAAAACACAGTATTTTTGTTGGTCATGGGGGTTCTATGTGGGAAGTCTGCCCCAATTCTATCCTTGGTGGGGTTCCGAATGCTCTTTGATTGCAGGTGAACTATAAATCCCAGCAACTACAACTCCCAAAATGTCAAGGACTATTTTCCCCAAACTCCACCAGTGTTCACATTTGGGCATATTGAGTATTCATGCCAAGTTTGGTCCAGATATATCATTGTTTGAATCCACAGTGCTCTCTGGATGTAGGTGAACTACAACTCCAAAATTCAAGGTCAATGCCCACTAAACTCATCCAGTATTTTCTGTTGGTCGTGATAGTTCTGTGCGCCAAGTTTGGTTCAATTCCATCATTGATGGAGTTCAGAATGCTCTTTGATTGCAGGTGAACTATAAATCCCAGCAACTACAACTCCCAAAATGTCAAGGACTATTTCCCCCAAACTCCACCAGTGTTCACATTTGGGCATATTGAGTATTCGTGCCAAGTTTGGTCCAGATCTATCATTGTTTGAATCCACAGTGCTCTCTGGATGTAGGCGAACTACAACTCCAAAATTCAAGGTCAACGCCCACCAAACTCATCCAGTATTTTCTGTTGGTTGTGATAGTTTTGTGTGCCAAGTTTGGCCCAATTTCATCATTGGTGGGGTTCAGAATGCTCTTAGATTGCAGGTGAACTATAAATCCCAGCAACTACAACTTCCAAATGACAAAATCACACCCCCCACAACCCTATCAGTATTCAGTTTGGGGAAAATAGTCCTTGACCTCACAACCTCTGAGGATGCTTGCCATAGATGCAGGTGAAAAATCAGGAGAGAATGCCTCTAGAACATGGTCATATAGCCCAAAAAACCTACAACCCAGTGTGCACCCCACTTGAAATCCTGTGGTTGCGCCTGCAGAATTCTGGGGTTTGTAGTTCAGTGAGGTCCAGGACCTCTCTGGCTGAGTAGTTTAAAGGCCCCTCCCTAAACTACAAATTCCAGAATTCTACAGGGGGCAGTCACAGGATTTCAAGTGGGATGCACACTCTTTGTCTACTCTTTAAGCTCTAGTGTGATGAGGTCTGAGGCAGTGAGAACAGTTGGGCCAGGAACATGAGATGGCAGTTCCTTGCTGCAACACACCACCTACCTTTTCGCTTGTGTTCGCTCCAATGTCAGGCTGAAAAGGGAGAGGTGGGGAGGAAGGCGTTTTGCTGCTGATCTGCTTGATATCGGACTAATTGGTGGGGATAAAATAGATGGTGTATCATTGCAGAGGGTGAGCATTTAGAGTGGTACCAAACTGTGCTCAGTGTAGCTTTGTAATATTTATTTATTTATTTACTAGCTGTCCCCTGCCACGCATTGCTGTGGCCCGGTCTGGTGATATGGAAAATAAAGTAATGAGAAAGTGTTGGTTTCTAATATATGTAATTTCTTTATGTGTGTGGGTAAACAGTATTTATTGTTGTTTCTTTGTCAGTGTTGATGTGGAGAGTGTCTGGTTTGCCTTCTCTGGAATATGCAACATATCATAGTCCTTCTTTAGGGGTCCCTTTCAAATCTATGATTCCCTATCTGTGTGTGTGTGAATCATATCTATCTATCTATCTATCTATCTATCTATCTATCTATCTATCTATCTATCTATCTATCTATCTATCTATCTATCTATCTATCTATCTATCTATATCTATGGCTGGATGGCTCTTTGTCAGGAGGGCTTTGCTTATGTTTTCTTGCCCTGGTCTGGAAGAGAGTTGGACTGGATGGCCTTAAGTATTTTCTGTTGGTCATGGGGGTTTTGTGTGGGAAGTTTGCCCCAGTTATGTCATTGGTGAGGTTCAGAATGCTCTTTGATTGTAGGTGAACTATAAATCCCAGTAACTACAACTTCCAAATGTCAAGGTCTATTTACCCCAAACTTCATCTGTGTTCCTAGTTGGGCATATGGAATATTTGTGCCAAGTTTGGTCCAAACCCATCATTGTTTGAGTCCACAGTGCTCTCTGGATGTAGGTGTACTACAACTCCCAAACTCAAGGTCAATGCCCACCAAACCCTTCTTGTATTTTCTGTTGGTCATGGGAGTCCTGTGTGCATTGTTTGGTTCAATTCCACCTGCTCTTTGGGGGAGATAGATTTGTGAAGTGTACAGTGATATGAGTGAAAGCAAAGTGCGTAAGTGGGTACGACAATTCAAAGATGGCAACGTCCATGATCACCCTTCTTTGATTACAGACAATTTGGTTATCGGAGCAGGTGGCAAGTTTTTATGAAGAGGATATTTTCAAATTGGTTCAGAGGTATGATATGTGTTTGAACAAACTTGGCAACTATGTCGAAAAATAGAGTGAAGTATGTACTTTCTGAAAATAAATTTACTTTTTTGAAATAAACTTTCGTTGTGTACTTATGTTCAAACGGACCTTACTTAAAAAATGCCCCTCATGTGTATATATATATATATATATAGAGAGAGAGAGAGTAGCCATCCCCTGCCACGCGTTGCTGTGGCCCAGTCTGTGTATATGTGTTTTATGTGTGTATATATGTGTGTAGATATCTATATATGTGGTTTTGCGCATGCGTTGTAATGTATTTTTTATTTTTTGGCTTTTTAAGTCTCATCTGCTGAGTTTTTCAGTGTTTTTATGAGTGATGGTCACTCGTTGGCCTGATACATGTATTGTGTCCTAATTTGGTGTCAATTTGCCCAGTGGTTTTTGAGTTATATTAATCCCACAAACTATCATTAAATTTTTATTTTTATTTATATAGATATACGCAAACACACATATATACACATATACACAAATATATACGAGGGGTATTTTTTAAGTAAGGTCCGTTTTGTTGTAGACACTAGTAGTTCGCGCGCATACCGCAACGAGCGCGTGTGTCGTGTACCGGCATGCCTCGGGAACAACTGTGCTCAGTTTCCGCTCTGTAGCTAACCTGTACGGTTCTGTTCTGTGCTTTAAAAATGTTTAAGACTATCAACTCACCCGCCGCATGTGAGGTTCGCTCGCTTCACTGAAGCCACCAAATCGTCTGTAATCAAAGAAGGGTGACCGGAGCAGTCCTCATCATGAACTTTGTCATGGCCATCTTTGAATTGTCGTACCCACTTACGCACTTTGCTTTCACTCATAACAGTATCACCGTACACTTCACAAATCTGTCGATGAATTTCTGCAGCATGCAGGTTCCTTGCTGACAAAAACCGTATCACTGAGCGAACCTCACATGCAGAGGGTGAGTTGATAGTCTTAAACATTTTTAAAGCACAGAACAGAACCGTACAGGAAAGTAATGTTCCTATTGCTGTAGTCTGCAGAGGGGTAGGTAACTTGCAGCCCTTTGCCTAATTTGAAAACCTCATTGCAATCAATTGGTGCAGACAGTTGGGCAATATACTGCTGTCCATTGGGCAGGGAGGAAAGTGGATTCTATACTCAGGATGGCTCTACTCCCTCTTCGTCTCTTGAAGGGAATGGAGTCCTTTGATGAATCAACACAATGGCTCTGCCCCAGCTTCTCTGTGGATAATTCCTGCTACAGTCTGACTCCACTTGAGCCACCTGTGTCCCTTTAATCCACTTGGAGTTGGGATGACAAACTATGTAAGTCCTCCATCATGAGGCCAAGCTGTCTTAAGGAGCATGTTCACTGTGGTTATGTGTTAGCTGCATTAGAATATCTCCATACAGCATCTTCCCCATATACATGGGGGATATGTTCCAAGACTCCTCCGTGAATACCTCAAACTGCAGATAATGGTGAATTCTTTATTTTGACTATACTTGGGCCATAGAATTACACTGAACTATTTAGAGAGGCACATAAACATTTCCACTTTTGGGACTCTAAAGGTCCCCAAAGAGCCGTTCAGCAGTGGAACTCTCTGCCCCGGAGTGTGGTGGAGGCTCCTTCTTTGGAAGCTTTTAAACAGAGGCTGGATGGCCATCTGTCAGGGGTGATTTGAATGCAATATTCCTGCTTCTTGGCATGGGGTTGGACTGGATGGCCCATGAGGCTGGATGGCCAACTGTCTGCCAAGAAAGCAGAAAATTGCATGCCATGAACCAAGCATAATCCTCCCAAAAAAACCCCACCCCCCCACAAAAATCCTCCTAAGCCACGAAGAAACACTACAACAAAAAAAACCCTCCTTACGACATAACTAAACACACCACCAGTCAATCGACCTGGCAAAAATACACCACAAGT